CAAGCTCTGTGTCTCCCAGCATGGTTATCTTGGCCCCCCCTAGAGCCCCGGACCTCCCCCATTTTCCACCAGGGGAGCTGAGGCCTGCCCAGGGTGCTCGACTCCTGGCACCTACCCAGAGCAAAGCGCTCCTGTTCTGGCCGCAGGGAGGATGCTGGCTAGGAACTGGGGGTGAGATGGAGTGGGTGCTCCGTGGCGGGCCGTTTGGTGGACTCGGAGTTAAGGTTCTGAGAGCGAGGCGGGGTGGAGGATTGGGGTGGTGGTAGAGCTGGAGTCCAGCACAGTGGCAGAGCAGTGACGAGGGGCCTTTGTGCTGTGAAACAGTACTCGGCTGCACCCAGGGTCTGCCCTGCCCTGGGTGTGAGCTGGCAGTGCTCTTGTTTAACACAAGAAAGAATGCTTGTCGTGTGCCAGCCCTGCACGCCATCCTTGTCATCTCACAAGCCAGTGAAACAGCCACTGAGGCAGGGCCACCTGCCCAGGTCACTCAGCAAGTCACAACTAGTCGGGGCTCAAACCTGCCCTTACCTGCACCTGGGGGTCATGTGGAGACCAGGGCCGGGCTATTTGCTCTTTTCACTTTGTGTGCCTTTTTAATAAAAAATGACCCACTGTCGGGGAGGCCGTTCCAACCCACAGTAGAACTGTTCTGAGACAGGTGGGAACAGGGAGCCTCATCCTGCTCCCACCGAGCGACTGGTGGCTTTGAACCACTGACTTGGCGGGTCACCACCCAACATTGAACTCAGCACCCCCCCAGGACCCCATCCCCTTTTAAAAGGAAGTTTCTGAGAAAAAATATATTCAACTAGGTTTCAAACAAAAGCTAACAAAACATTCAAAAGAGAAAGATGCTCAGATTGTTGCCCGCCCCTGTGTTGCTCTGCCCCTGCGGGCAGAGGGGGAAGCTTGGCTGAGCTGGGCCCACCTTCCCCCAGCTCAGAGAGGGAAAAGAATAAGGGGGAAAAAACCAGACTGCTTGTTAACACAGAGTCATGGGCACTGATGTAATGGGAATGCCAGCCATGAGGTGGGACCTAGAACTGTGATTTTTTTTTGTCCCTCTGTCTGTCTGCGCAGGCCCAGCTGCTATCCAAATTGCCCATCCCTGAAGGGCAAGTGATTACCATTAATCCCTCGCTGCCCGTAGAGGAGGCGGCTGAAGACTACGCCAAGAAGCTGAGAGAGGTAAGCAGCCATGCCCACACACGCCCACGGAGACTGCCACCTGTGGGCAGGGCTGTTCACACCCACCTCCCTGGGGAGGCCACTGACAGTCTTCAGTCACAGGTGAGGCTGAGTGACCCCCTCCGGGTGTCCTAGCCGTGGAGCACCGGAGTGACTGCTTACAGGAACAGAAATTCCTGCCCTCATAGTTCAGGCTGGACGTGTGAATCCAGAGCCCTGCTCTAGGGGAAGGCGCTCTCCCTGTGTCTGCTCTCCGGAAGACCCGTGTCTTCCCAGTTTCTCGTTTCCTTGGCGATCCCGCCCTGTGAGGCTTCCCGGTCTCTGTGCCTCCTCCGCTCCTTGTAGAGCTGATTGTCTTCAGACTCACCCACACGACTGCGGTCTCATCAAGCTAACTAAAAACCCCTGTTCGCAAATGAGATTCTGCTGCACAGAATTTGAGTGAAGCCAGTTCAATCCACAGCGCCCGGGGGAAGCCACTGGTGTCTCTACGTCTGATAACTGTCCCCCAGTGCCCTCTAAGGAGCCCCTCAAACACTCTCCCCAACCCAGGCCTTCCAAGGAGACTCCATCCCAGTCTTCGACCTGCTCATCCTGGGCATCGGCCCTGATGGTCACACCTGCTCGCTGTTCCCTGACCACCCGCTCTTGCAGGTGAGCGTACCAATGTGACCCCCAAGTCCCAGGCCGCAGCTTCAACTCCTTGTGGCATCTGCAGGGTGGTGCTTAGGGCTGGGGTTGGAGTGGCCTTCTGCCAACCAGCTTCACTGGGTGACCAGGAACAAACCACTGAGCCTGTGCTTCTCACCCTGTGAAAACAGGGTGCTTGACTCATCTACCTTGGCGGGTTTGATAAGGGGTGGGATCATAGACCGACTGGGCCTGGCATGGAGAGAGTATGTGGGATGAAGAAGCGATGTGCTCCCGCCTCCATCTGGGGGTTTCCTCCCACAGGAGAAGGAGAAGATTGTGGCCCCCATCAGTGACTCACCAAAGCCACCACCTCAGCGTGTGACCTTCACCCTTCCTGTGCTGAATGCAGCCCGGACTGTCATCTTTGTGGCAACTGGAGAAGGCAAGGCAGCTGTGCTGAAGGTAACAGCCAAGGGCCTGTCTCTAAAGGTCATGGTGTGGGCCCTGGGCCAGGTCGTCACGCAGAATATGACCCCAGCCATCAGGGTGCTGGAAGCATCAGGGGTCAAAGTAATTCTGTAATTCTTGGGTCTAAGGGGAGATCAGAAGTACAATTCTAGGCTACCTAGGAATGAGTGATGATGAGAGGAGATTATTAAGAAGCAGCCAGAGCTGTACTCAGAGGCAAATTCATTGCTCACAAGTTCTATGGCCATACCTCCAAGACCCTTTCTTTATCTGTTGCCTTTGGCTGCTTTTGGCGACAGCAGCACTGTGGCACGGTAGTGACAGAGACCATCTGGCCCACCGAGCCAAAGCTACTGATCATCTGGGCCTTTGAAGAAAAGGTTTACCAACCCCAGAGTTTAACTGAGGAAACCTGACAGCGAAAATGCTTTGTGCTAAGCCTTTAGCAAGAACATTGGTAGTGTGAGCCCATTCAGGGACACCACAGAACAGAAGAAAGGCCCGGTAATCCTCCGTAAAGGTTGCAGCCAAGAAAAACCCTCTGAAGCAGGTCTACTCTAACCGTGGGGTTGCTGCGAGTCAGAATCCACTCAATGGCAGCGGGTTGGGCTTGGGGTTTGGAATTAAACTGCTGCTAATTATTTGAAGCGCGCATGTCTGGGGAGCTCCTGGGGAGCTCAAGGGATTGTTTGACTACGAGCTGAAAGGTTGGCGCCTCAGAAAACAGGTCTGGCAATCTGCTTCCAAAAGGCTACAGCCAGCCCTCAAACCCCACCTCCCGAGAGCAGTTGTGCTCTGTGCAGGCGGGGTCACCGTGATTCAGAATTGACTTTGGCGTCCACCAGCCAGGAGAACAGCCAGGGCAGTGTCTACCTGGAAGGGTTTGAGAGTCTTGTCCATCAGGTGCTGGGAACTCGAGAGGGGAGCAGGGTGGCTGGGTTGCCCTAGGTCCCGCCTCCTGACCCTGACCCTGACCCTCTCCCTGCAGCGCATCCTGGAAGGCCGGGAGGAGAACCCACTGCCCGCCGCCCTGGTCCAGCCACACACGGGGACGCTATGCTGGTTCCTGGACGAGGCGGCCGCCCGCCTGCTGACCCTGCCCTTCGAGAAGCACTCTACCTTATAGTCGCTGGGCACACCCCACGACGGGGACCACAGGCACCTGAGTGGAAGGGACCTTCCGGGGCTTGGGCTGGGCTCCGTGCTCACTGCCACACTCCTGACTGTGTTTGAGCAAAGCCACATGCCACCTCCAGGAGACACGAGGGTCTGGTTGTGGCTCAGCCCCGGGACGGTGCCTCAGGACAGCCTGGATATTAAAAGAAATGGTGGTTGCAATCACATCTGTCTCCTAGTCCTTGGTGGGCGGTGAGCCTGAGAGCACCCAGCAGAAGACTCGGCCTGCCCTCCACTTCCCTGGGTGAGGGTCTTGGGAGGGTGGAACAGAATCCCCAAATGGGGGATAAGGCAGCAGAGATGTGCTTTCTCAGCGTCTAGAGGCCTAAAGTCTGGAGTTGGAGCATCGGCAGGGCTGAGCTTTTGGGGACAGGGGATGGGGGGACCTCTGGGCAAGGAGCCTAACTCCCAGCCTCTGGTGGCTCCAGGTGTCCTGGCTGTAGTGACATCTCTGATCTCTGTCTCCGTCCTCACATGAACATCCCCTCTGTCTCCTCTTTAAAGATACTGGTCCTTGGTTCCAGGTTCCATCCTAGATCCTTAATCACAACGACGCTGTTTGCACAGGCCCTTGTGCCTAGTGGCATAGTGGTTACATATTGGGCTGCCATCTGCAAGGTCCATGGTTCAAAATCAGTGGCCACTCGAGGGAGAATGATGGGGCTTTCTACTCCCGGTAACAGTTACAGTCTTGGAAACTCACAGGGCAGTTCTACCCTGTTCTATAGGGTCGCTATGAGTTGGCATCAACTTGATGGCATTGAGCTTGGGTTTTGTTTTTT